TCGACCCTGGAGCGACGGAGAAAAGATTTTTTGATATTTCCCATAGACGTTTCTAAAAAAGTCTGGTGACGTGTCCTGGGAATCTCTAACATCCCCGACACCGAACATCAAGAATTGAGAAAGGAACCATTTCTGGAATCTACCCACGACAGTAATTGCGAACGACCGAAACCCAAATCCCACATCTCCGTATGTAGTATAATCGCAGAGTACATGCGCTAGGGATAGGCGAGTATCTTGGCACACGTTGCACTTACCATGATGTTTAGCAATGCCATTGAGCACCGATGCTTGCGATCAACGCTTGTCATCGATGCGACTGCGTAGGTGCCTTCGAGCAAGAGGGTTTAGGGTTTAGGGTTTAGGGTTTAGGGTTTAGGGCAAGACATTGCTGCAAAAATGTTGGGGGAAGCCTGGCTCTTGGCATCTCCTGGCTGGACTCTGCAAACAGCCCGCGCGCCTCTCGGTTCGTGAGGCCATCGGGAAGTGGGACAGAAACCTGAGGGGTTTAGGGTTTAGGGTGTAGGGTGTAGGGTTTAGGGTTTAGGGTTTAGGGTTTAGGGTTTAGGGTTTAGGGTTTAGGGTTTAGGGTTTAGGGTTTAGGGTTTAGGGTTGATGAGATGTCATGACTTGTTCATTGTTGGGTTCATATTAAAAATGTAAACTTATATTCCTTATTGGGATCTTATTGGGTTTAAGTACCCTTAAAAATGTAAAATGTTACCCAGCTATGACAAAGATGAGGAGTCTCTGGCATGGATGCCGCAATCAAGTGCCGCTGGATCCAGCAAATCTGTGCAGCATCCCAGTCACATAGCCACGCCAGGGAAAGTAATTGGGTAGCAAGGGCTGTGCAAGTCGCCTACTATCACAAATGATGCCCAGTTTGGATCAGCAATAAGCTTAGTCGTCCAGAGATGGTTGCAGAGTTCCCAGCGCGGCGCGCTCGTCACGGTCCATGGAGAGGACCGGGCCTGTGCGAGGATCGTTGAGGGACCATGATTTAGGGTTGAGGGTTTAGGGTTGAATTGAGGGTTTGGTTGGTACACATGAAGTGTAATTGCCAGAACTTACCGAAACTTTGCTGCAGGGAGTCCTAGGAGTTTCACGTCAGGACCCTGAAAGAATATGCTTTTGTTCTGCGGCTCACTATTGAAGTGCAGATGATACTTAACTTGGTCTTTGGGGCATCTGGAAGAACACGGTCTGCTCTCCCTGAAGACTGGGGTCGTTACAGGCTTTGGGCCTGGGCTCCGCACGCATGGGCCGCCGAGCAGTTGAGGTAACTGGGCTTTGCGCCTTGACTCCAATTTCAATTCAGGACTACTTGCTAAACAACTGTTGGACTTGGTCATACTGTACATTTCAAAAACTCGATCCTGAAGTGAATCCTGACAGATGGGGCTCCGACTCCCTGAGAAGCTCCTGGTGTGGAGGGCACCGAGTCGTTGTACCTACCAGGAGATCTCAGCGTTCCCCTGGCCGCCCTTCAAACAGCAGAACCTCCTGCCTGGGTGCAGGGCCCCTTGCGGAGGGGCGCGCGGAGCTGGTGGAGGAAGGTGGCCTGGTGATTGCAGGGTGGCGATCGGTAGTTTCGAAAAAGCACGTGTCTGAAACATTCTAAACTGGGGCTCGGATCGCTGCTACGCAGTCTAAGACTCCCTCACAGGCCGTGACCCTGACTGCAAGAAGGGGTGCTCAAGAAGAGCTCTCTTGAGCCAGAAGATGATGCATTTAACCAAACTTCTAACCTCTCTCTGTGTCGGTTTATGTCGGTTTGAAGCCAATGCACGCTTGAAGGTGGGAGGAGCTTTCCTGTGTGTCCGGCTCTTGGCGGCTTCGCTTCGTGCTTGGATCGAGCTCATGCCAGAGTCTCCGAAATCATGCTCCCGTCACGGTCTCATGATGGCGATCCTCGTCTATGTCGTCCCACGCGCAACCAAAGTTTGCATGCCCAGCCGCAGCCCTGACTGCCCATGCTGTTGGAATGCAGCAGCCCTTGCAGTGTTTCCTACTGTCATTATTGTTGTCACTATCAGCAAATGCCATCAGTAACATGTTTGTTACTGCTGCAGTGTTGTGACTTTGGATGTCCTTATCATGAATCCATCATGCGTACTAGGAACTACTAGCAGCTGAGGCATGCGACCCAGAGCCCAAGTCTTCCAAGGGTCCGCTCCGCGATGACCTGGCGCATATGCAGCACTTGGATTGGGGTGTGAACACTCTGCGAAGTCGTACCTAATGTTTGGGTGGTTTCGGGGTGGAGGCCTTTACTTAGCCCAATCTTTTGGTGGCGTGGTGGGGGGGGTGGGGGGCGTGGGGGGGGGTGGGTTGGTGGGGGGGGTGGGGGGGGGTGGGGTGGGGGGGGTGGGGTGGGGTGGGGGGTGGGGCTGGGTGGGGGGGGAAGACAGCTGGTGTAGAAAGGATGGTTATGTTTCGCCTATTGTGTGTCGTGCTTTCTTTCCTGCCTTCTCTTCATCCTGCACGTTCTTCATGTCTGTCCCTAACTCATTCTTTATTTCCTGCTCTGTCTGTGTCCAAAAACGCATTGCCTTTGTCCCTCATATCGATGTGTGTATGTGTTCTTTCATATTCACTCTTGTTCTTTCATGACTTCCTTCCTTTTGCTTCATTCACCACGTCTTCCAGCTTTTTATTGTTTAGCTATTTTTGTATTTCGCTGTTTTGGTGTATACCTGTAAACATTAATTTATTCGTTCTTTCTTCTTGTCTTTATGTCTGTGGTTACCTATTTGTCTACTGCTCTCTGTCTTGATATCCTTCTATCTTTGTGCTTTTGGTGTTCTGCATTTTCTTCCTCCTCCTGCATTCTTTCCTGGTAGCTGTCTGCCGTACCCCTCCCCTAAGCCCTTCCCCCCGCTCCAGAATGTCATTTTAGATAGGGATCCCCCTTTTGCAGCCATGAAGTGACTATCGCAGCAAGCGCTGTCTGTTTCAGAGTCTACAAACCATGGCTGCTTATTGTCGCGGATGTCGCTGCAGGCGTGCCTGACCCCAGAACAACACCGTTGTCAGCAGAGCCGTGCGTGGTTTTACGTACTTCTATCTCCAACTACCTCTGTCAGCAACTGTGCAACTAGACAAGGACGTCTGGGCTTTCCAAGGTGAAAGACTTTTAAGCGTTGCCCCAGGCGACGCCAGGCGGCCGACCAACGAGGCGTCACTAGGGCTAGGGTGGTAGCCTCAGCTGTTCGTGTCCATGTCGGGTGTCAAGCAGGACGTAGATCGGGTGCTGGCATGGAGGACCCTTGGGAGCCTTGCTTGTGGTTTGACAAGGGTACGCCAGTCGTCGGACCCTGACTCTGCAGCAATGCCGAGGACCTGGCTATGCTTCCTCCTGTCTGCTGCCTCTGCCATGCAACCAAAACTTGCATGAGCATTGGGGGTTGAGATGGCTTGAAGGACTAGGACCTCCACACACCTCCCCTTGCAGCTGCATGCATCCACTCTGCTGCATGCTGGCCGAAAGACTGCGATGGCCTCGTACACTTCCAATTGCGATCGTATTCTTTCCACCTGCGCCAGGCAAAACAAATTGGTTTAGCCAACAGCAATCAAGGGCAGCTGCGGCGACCGCTGATCATGAAACTGGATACTGGCCCCCAGGGTCTCTCGGCTTTGGGCTTTGGCCTCGTCATCACGCGAGGCGACCACGTCACAAAGCTCCTGTCACGATTGACACTGATGAGTGCCAGGAAGGCAAGAGCTGAGCTGTGGCGCTTGGGTCGCACCTCGATCTCTGCTTGCTGCCTCTGGTGATCAGCTTGCAGGTCTCCCAGCTCTTGCTCCCTGTCGATGCAGCGCGAAACCGTGCCTTACTAGCCTGCAATTCCAGTGTGGCTAGTATTGCGTGAGCCAACTGGGAGTGTACAGGCACTTTCCCGTGTGTATGGCTCGTTCTGGCAACATCTACTTGCTTCAGCGCCAGGCGCAGGCGCGCTACTTTGACTTGTACTCCTGAACGAGTACCCCTAAACCCGAGACCCTGCGAACCATGCCTCCTCACCAGGCTTGTTTGTTTCTCCACCAGGGAGGCTTCGGCGACAGCCAGTTGACTCTCCTAATCACATAGGCTCTGCAGGCCAAACGTGTCGTTAGGGTCCGATATGGCTTGCATTGGAGCTCTCAAGGTTGCTCAGCAAACGACTGAGGCAGCGCCGTAACACTGAAACCCTATCTCTGGGAGTCCTTCTCGTGGAGATGCTTCTGCTGAACGGTGCTGAGCTCCCGCAGCTTTCGTGTCTGTGAGCAGCTTTGGAACAGGAGGTGCAGCGGGGGTCGCTGATTCGATTGCTGGCGCTTTTGGGACTGGATATTGTCATTCACGCACAAGCTAACCATCCCATGTAGTGCAGGGATAAGTGGCAGGGTTGTAGGATCCCCGAAGCTTTATTATTACTATTATTACTATTATTACTATTATTACTATTATTACTATTATTACTATTATTACTATTATTACTATTATTACTATTATTACGATTATTACTATTATTACGATTATTACTATTATTACTATTATTACTATTATTACTATTATTACTATTATTACTATTATTATTATTACTAATATTCTCATTATAAATTATTAACGGCATCGCATGCAAGCCTCCCTGTCCAACATGCCTCCTCGCGCAAACGATTTCGCTCATCGCTGAGCCGATCACGCTCAGCTGCGGTCCGCAGCAGCCTGCAGATGCTGTTTTCTGGGGTTTAGGGTTTAGGATTTAGGGTTTATAATGGGTATGTAAGGGGTATATAATAATGGGTACATAATGGGTATGCAAGGGGTATATCATGGGTATGCAAGGGGTTGCTGTTTTCTGGGGTATATGGGAAAAAAAGGGGCCCACTCCTAGCTGAAGCGCTGCGTCTTGCTTCCCAAGGTTTTGTACAGTATGGGCTGAGCATACAGTCTCTGGATCATCAGCACGCATTCAAGCCCTCAAATCGGCTTCAATATGTCACAGAGTGCAAGACATGGCAGGCAAACTCGTCTCGCTGCTTGCTCACCAAGTCCTTTGGCAATTGGAGAGTTTGTCATCAGCTGTCGTCTCAGTCTTGACCTAGCTTGGTTGCATGTGCCGGCAAGACAACCTGCTGTGGTTTCAACCCTCGACATACATTCATCTCAAGCATGAGTTCTGAACTCGCAGTCCTTCTGCTCGTTTTGGTTCGACAGTTGCGCACATGTCCTGGCTACCGGCGGGTGGTCCAAAGCTTTCTGGATTCGTAGTATATACCGGCGGACAGCATAGGTGGTACAGAGTTTGTGATACTGCAAGCTTGGTTTGTACCAGTGCATTTGCTGTGTATGGGGCAAGAGATTGCCACTGATACGCTTGAAGCATTTTCGACTCAACCCAGGCCACCCACCCATCCACCATTTTTTCCAGGTCCGGAGAAGGGGCTTCCGGAATTACGGAATCCTACTATTTGGGGTCTATATAATATTGGAGGTACCGAATTTCGTAAGCCCCCCCTTCTAAATGCCAAGTCACAGATGCGGCAAACACGACGGGGCGACATGTCCAAGACCTGAATCGGGGATCCATGATGCGAAGCTGAAGGGCACAGAAATCGCAAGTCCCCAGAACTTCCAAAAAGGGAAACCTTGAGACCAGAATTCATGAAGCCCACACTCCCCGAAACGAACCACCACCCTGCATCCTGCTGATTCATCTCGGAAGCATATGGGCGGTTGTCAAAATTATGGTCCCTTTTTGGGTCCCTATTATAATACGGCACCTAATATTTAGGGTACCCCAAAAGGGATCCTAATTTTGAAAGCCACCCATATGGAAGCATGGCATGACATGAATCCTGCGCATGGGCATGCAAATCCCGCTGATCAAGCGGATGAAAGGCAGCGGTGCCATCCCAAAGCCTTGCTCTGAATGGGGAGAGCATACCCCAACCGAAATCAATCAAAAGGGTCAGAAAAGGGCGCAAATGGCCCGAAATGACCTAACCAGTTGCCAGGATGCCACTTCTCAAGATTATACACACCTGCGCGAAGCTAAATTCTCTTTGATCCGTATGATGTCCCTAAACCCTAAACCCGAAGTCTGGGCAGCAGGCGTTTTGCTGTTTGGATAGCACATCAGAAAGGTCCCGAACGCGAGCGCATTGCTCTTCTAGCTGCTGCTCTTTTTCATCCAGGTCCTTGGTTGTGTGATTTCTTTTGGGTTTAGGGTTTAGGATGGTTTAGGGTTTAGGGTTTAGGTTTTAGGGTTCCATGTGCAGATCACGAGCTGGTCGATCTTAAATGCAGACTCAGATCTTGTCTCGCTCTGCCGGGCGGCCATTTCTGCTTGCAGGAGTAGCTGTCGGAGCTCCTCCATCTCCGTCTCCTCATCGTCCACCTCCTCTTCCTGACCCCGTCTGTTTAAGGGTTTAGGGTGCAGGGTGTAGGGTGTAGGGTGTAGGGTTTAGGGTTTAGGGTTTAGGGTTTAGGGTTTAGGGTTTAGGGTTAGGCTAGCAGTGATGACCGTGGCCTGTAATGTGCGAAAATACAAAGCTGCTCAGGCAACTTAATGTTTGCTATCCCTTTCGTCGCTTTCTTCATCAGCTGTGTAGCATGGAAAGGTACCCTTCTCATCAAAGTGAGTTTTGCGCAGACAAGGAGAGCTGACTAGTCAACCCCGCGCGGGAACAAGGTGAACCAATGCGCCGCCAACCCGAAGTAAGCAAAGAATAGCCAAGATTTGCCAGCATGTTGATGTGGGGCTTTATGAAAATAAGGGACGGGACCCCTAACAGAGACCCCAAATAGTAGGATTCCCTTATTATTAGGACCCCAATAAGCTACCCCTAATTGCGGAAGCCCCCCATGTCTATCTTGCAAGATTCGCAGGACCCCAGTGCGAGCTTGCCTCCTCCTTGATCGACTTGACTTGGCCCTTGTGGCCATCAGCAAGCCGCGCAAGTAATTCTACATGCTCCTTGGACGCCGAGAATCTGTACCAAGGACGACATATGGCAGCCAGGTCAACTCAAGATTTGCAAGGCTTCGGGTTTAGGGTTTAGGGTTTAGGGCCGAGTGCCTTAATGACACATTTCTGCTGCTGAGAAGCCACAATGTCTGCCCAGGAGCAGTTCAGGTGGAGCCCCAACAAGGACCGCAGCGTCTGCAGCGTGAGCTCCTGCACCATTCCAACCCAACAATAGCTTGGGGAGATTAGGGTTTAGGGTTTAGGGTTTAGGGGGACCGTGCCGTGCAACTTGTGCTGTCCAGAAACGTCAGATGAAACTCCCTAAGCCGTGACTCAATAACCTCAGCACGAGTGCGGAATGGCTACTTTCCATCCAAATCTAGGTGCCGCACGAACTTCGCGCGCAGCGTGCCGAGCTCCTTGGCTGCAACTTCACTGCCTACGTGTGCAGGGAAACATCGTCTAGCCAGGTACATTGCGCTCCATCAAGAATCTTGTCAACGTTTGAAGAAACAGCGAAAACTTCTCTAAGCCTAAACAAGGCAACGCGGTACTGGGGTTAAGAAGATGTTTGTTGAGCAGATTTCCCAAAGCACGTCATCGTTGGAGCTGTTTTCCCCATCCGACGAGGCCAGGGAGGCTCCGCCGGGCCACTGTACCCGAAACCCTAAACCCGAAACCCTAAACCCGTGCCAGAACGTTGCTTTGAAGCAACCAAGGAAGGGCCCAGGTGCACACGTGTGCCGGAAAAAGTTGCCCTCATTCATAAGTGGCCAGGGGAGGATCCGGTCGGCGACTATGCCAGAATGTGTTGGCTTCACAGAAGACATAAGCAAGACCAAGGAGGCTCAAGTTCCGAAATGTGGCCAGGCATCGGGGCAGCTGAACCACTGCACCCTAGATGGTACCGGATTGTTTCTTGATAAGCGGGCCAGGGAAGCTTTGTACCGGAACGTGCCCTAAAAACCCTAAACCCTAAACCCCTAAGTCCTAAACCGTGCGCACAACCATCGTTCCATCGGACTGTGACTCTGGACTACCATGGAAAACAGCTCTTCCCAACACTGCGAATTTTGAAGCCGTGCAGTTGGCTTGCAGAGACAGGGTGGGGATATTCGAAGTGACTGTTCTTAGGTTTCGTCCAAGCGAAAACGACAGTACAGTCACGATCTTTGGTTTTCTGTTGGCGATAAGTTGATAAGTTGTCTCGGGCTTTGGGGCTTTGAGCTTGCGCAGCCAATAGGTCTGGGTTTGGAAAAAAAGGTTCCGGCTAATACTGCACGGGGTTTGGGTTTTGAGTTCAGGTTTTGGTTTGGGGGTGTCATTGTATGATCGGGGTTTGGAGATGAGCATTTACGGCAGCGTTTATGGCTTCGGGCTTTGGGGGAGGGATAGCATAACCGATTCCCCAAACAAAATGAACGCTAAACCCTAACCCTCAACCCTACACCCTAAACCCTAACGGCATTCTCTTCGACTGTGCCCTTTCGGCCTTTAGGTAGTCTCACCGCACGCTCGGAAAAACGGACCAAAGAAGAAGTTTCGGGTGGAGCATCGACTAGAGGGCGCTGATTTGGGATCTTCCCCCCTATACTACCAGTCCGAAACAGGGATTATGGTACCCCCTATACGAACAGTCCTAACACAGGTTGTATTTCCCCCCCCTATGATAATCCCTAGCAAGGAGCTGTTACTGTAGTATAAGGGGGAACATCCCAAGTGCTGATGCCTAAACCCTAAACCCTAAACCCTAAACCCTAAACCCTAAACCCTAAACCCTAAACCCTAAACCCTAAACCCTAAACCCTAATCAAGTTACGTGTGGACATCCGAGGCTCCCCCAGCAGCAAAGACCGCTCCTTGCGGAGCCTGACTAGCTCCTGGCTGTGCAGCTTTTGTGAGTTTTTGAGGGGTTTAGGGTTTAGGGTTTGGGGTTTAGGGTTTGGGGTTTCGGGGCTAGGGTTTAAGGTGAGGGCTTGTGCAACTGGAATTGAGGCTTGGGATCACGGGTATCTCGGGTTTTGGGACTCTTATGGGATTTGAGGGCCCTCTGGCATAGGAAGCGCTTCTTGAGCCTGCGGTTCTTGAGCTTGGGGGTTTCGTGCCTCCACTCACAGCATTTCATTGAACAAGTTTCCATCGAAGTTAATCGCTGCCCAATGCTAGCCCCAGTAAGCACTCATTCACACTGGCATTTCGAGTTGCTCGCTCATCTTTGCCGGTAGTTTGTCCTTCTTTCTGGGTTTAAAATTCACGGCTTCAGGCTTGATGAAGTTCAGGGCGCGTGTCGAGCCTGAGGTTTGGAGAATTTGGGTTTTCGTGCTTTTGGGCTTAGAGGGTCTCGGTTGATTTCTGAAATTTGGGTATTGCCTTCTCTACTCTTGCGCTTACTTGCACGATCTTAATGCTCAAAGGTCAGGGTTTGCCGTAGAGATACAGGCCACGGGCACTTCTGGACTGACCCGCAGAAGCGCTTGTGCTTCACATTGCAAGATATTCTTCTGGCCATACTGTGACGAATGCAAAGAGGACACCGGCGCTGACACCTCGGCATAAACATGAACCAAGAGCTTCCTGCCTCCGGGCTCTCGCCCGATTCAGCTTCCATGGTCTGAAGCGGGCCGGTGTCAGGCTTTCGAGTCAGGCTGTCGGGTGCCTCATGAACGTCTTAAAAGGCTTAAGGGTGGAAGTTGGCTTCATGGCCTTACATTTGCATGTGCCAGAAACCTAGGCCATCTGCAGTTTGAGGCTTCAAGGTTGCCCATGCAGCTGTGGCCCCGGAAGCGTGCAAATGGGCATGCGTGTGTGTTGTAAGCGAAGCTAGAGTGCTCCCTGTCGTCATAGGTCCTGGAGTGCTGGACTTGAGGTCAGAAGTCGGAACGACTTGTCAGGTCTCTAGGACCCCAAGTCTCTTTCTGCGCTGCCGAGGTTCGGGCGATGTTTTTACTCCATGATGGTGTCATATGCTGCCCGACTCACCACCACTTACGGCCCATTTGATGCTGGCAGCCAAGAAGTGTTGCCAGGACATCCGCATGCCAACGATGCAGTCAGTTTCTTATATATATATATATATGTATGCATTGCTTGACATGATCCCGGCTCATGATGTCTGCAAATGCCTGCCTTTTCGCAAGAGGAATGCGTGGGTCATTATCGGGTCACGGTCCTCGCAGACCGCGAGCTTGAAAGCTGAACCAGCCCCGCGCATCAAAGCACTGCTGGTTGTCGTTGACGCACTAGAAGAGCTGCCGCTGGCAGCATTACGAGGTCCACACGGACTATGGTACCAAAACGGTACAGGTCGCTGTTCCGACCCGTGATCCCAAAATCCCAAACCCCAAAGGGCTTCAAAAAATCTCGGTATCGCTTGTCGACTTCAGCCTGCAGGGACAAAAACACTGACTTGGGGTTTTAGGGTTTAGGGTGGGAATGCTTTAAAACACTCACCATCACCTCTTAGTTACAGCTTCAAACAACAAAGCTCACAGCAGGTGTGCATCAACGATCATGAACGGTTCAAGCAGGCTACTCCCAGGCCAAAATGGGCCTCTCCCAAAATGGGGGGACCCTATTCTCGGAAACCCCCAAGTTGGGCCACATCCGTACCAGAGGAACCCTCAAAAAGGGTAGCCCCCCCCCCCCCCCTCTCACCCCCCTACCCTAAACCCTAAACCCTAAACCCTAAACCCTAAACCCAAAACCCTAAACCCAAATTGGGCCCCAAGTGCTTCTTGGCAAGCTTAAAAGCGCCTCGGGATCGGCCCTTGCCCCGAGATGTTGCTGCATCATCTGCGGCAGGGTTTAGGGATTAGGGCTTGCAGGGGTTAGGGTTTTAGGGTTTTAGGGTTTTAGGGTTTTAGGGTTTTAGGGTTTTAGGGTTTTAGGGTTTTAGGGTTTTAGGGTTTTAGGGTTTTAGGGTTTTAGGGTTTTAGGGTTTTAGGGTTTTAGGGTTTTAGGGTTTTAGGGTTTTTAGGGTTTTTGGATGTTTAGGGCCTAGGGTATGTTTCACACTGGCCATATTCGCCATCAGCTAGCAATGATGACTGCAGGCATGCACGAATGTTGAAAATGTACCTGTCCCTACGCACATGTACACGTTCAAGGGGGATGGAGAGAAAGCGAGAGGGGGAGGAGGGAGAGGGAGTTTGTGCATGATTTCGTCCGGCCTTTCCACGCCTGCGAAGCGTCGCCGTCCCACGATTCCCAGCCGGCGTTCCATCCACTATTCTCTCTGCCGGAACGTCTCGAACTGCCACTTTTTGCGTTCCAGGAACCCTGCGCGTCAGTGTATGCCGAATCTTGCCACGTCTTGCTCCGGCTGCCCGACTTGTTCCAGGAATCAGCCTGGCAAAGAAGAGTAGTGTGTTCCGAGCTGTAGTAGTATCGCTGGTGATTTGCCGCGAATACTATGACAATAAGCAAAAGGCAAGTTCAACTGCGGATTTGCGGATCCAGAACCGGGGCGTCCGCACGTCAGGTCAATCCCTGCAGCGAAATTCTACTAACTCTACTAAGCACAGCTGCAGAGCCAGCAAGCAATGACCGCCCCTATGAAGATCAATCTGAGACATCGATCCCAAATTGAAGTCACCAGCCAAACGCGTTTCTCCATCCGTAGCCTTCGACTGCTCCTGCTCCACCCAGTCGGCAGACCCCGAGCCTGGGGCTTGGACAATCTTACACAGTGATTAGGGGTTTAGGGTTTAGGGTTTAGGGTTTAGGGTTTAGGGTTGTGCAAATGCCGCAACATGTCTTGCTCACGCAGGCTCGGTATGCCAGGGGTGAGGCCATGGTAGTAGACTGTGTGTGTCAGGTTCAGATTGGCCACCCAAAAAAGTAAATGCCACAGTCCGTTACACATCCACAGCTGCTGTCCAGAATCACCAATGAGATCCGGGCTTGCTTTGCTTCGCAACTTCCCGCCGGGATCTGCCGCATCCAGCACCTCTATCTTCCATGGTGTGCTTAGGGCAGTTGCTTGTGTTGGCGTCACATCTCCACAAGTACACGAAGTGAAGCTAAGTCACATCATGGGGCGTTACACGGCATCACCTATGCAACTTTCAACGCCCAATCTCCACGTACGCGCGTTCGGCTTCTCCTGGGTTTATGTGCACAATGCTACATGCATGGCGATTGGCTTCAAGCAGTGGCCTGTATGCTTTTTCAAGAGGAAATTACAAAGTGTAAGTGAAGGTGCACATCTATCTGCAGCATACATCGGATGGCATACCGAGATGGAATTGCGCAAGCTTAATATTGAACCTGTGCTGTGCGACCTTCGCCACAAGTACACACGGCGAATGCAGCTTTCTTCACATGTGAGTCTACTCCCCCCAAACCCCAAACCCCAAACCCCAAACCCTAAACCCTAAACCCTAAACCCTAAACCCTAAACTGCCGTCCTACAGTCAGCTTCCCTTCACTGCAATTGCCACAGCAGAGGCCGGACAGGTATGAGAGGATAAACCCTAAACCCTAAACCCTAAAACCCATGCAGAGAGCCTCCATAACCAGGTCGGCTGTCTTGTGGTCCATTTTGCCCGCGCGAACCTTGCAAGAAAGGCTCTTTTCGCCCCTTTACTACTATTTGCTTAAGAACCCCCCAAAAAAACAGAGAGTATTCTTCCTAATAAGGGCAATATAGGGATTACTACTTTTTATATGTTTTTGGGGCTCTTAGGCAAATAGTTGATTCTCGGGTTCTTAAAGGAGGGGGGTCTGTAATCCAAGGTGCCCTAATACTCCCCACTACTCCCTAAGGCTCCCGAAGCTTCCACAGTTCCCCGACGTACCTACCCCCACGAGCCCCCCTCCTTAACCCGAAACCCGAAACCCTAAACCCTCAACCCTAAACCCTAAACCCTAACTCTAAGAACCCTCTTACCCAGAGCATGTTCCGAGGGCTCCCAGGACCCTCCCCGAACGGCGCACCCTGATGTGCAACCTTGCCCCACTGCCGCCCCAAGTCTCGATCTTGCGCCTGAAATCACCCCTGAACCTTCAAACCTAAACCCTGAACCCTAAACCCAAAACCTAAACCCTAAACCCTAAAACCTTCACCCTAAACCCTACGCCCTAAACCCTGGAAAAGACGGAGGTTGCACCTTGCCAGCCAGATCGGACATGGTCTTGAACTCGACGCCGACCTTGACGCTGCTTGCTCTTCACGCTGTCAAGGCCCGGAAGCCAAAGTCAGATGGCGGCAACATATGGGGCTTGCGAAATTAGGGGCACCCTTTTTGGGGATTCCTATAGGGGATTCTTTTCTATTTGGGGTATAAAAGGGTACCCCAATTTAGGGAAACCCCCATACCGATGACCTCTCAGTTCGCAGCGTTGCCGTCCGAACGGAATCTTACCTCAACATCTGGCCTCAGAGCGCGAGATAGCACAGGGCCACACCGCTCGATTGAAACCAAGCTTGTCTTCAGATTGCTGCCGAGCATGAGAGAATGGGGGGTATGCCATCTCAAGCCTGCATATGGCCCATTGATCCGGTTTCGGAAAATCGTGCAGCACCTAACTTCAGGGGAGTGAGAGAGTCCCGCCCAGAATTACAGCTTTGCCCGGATCGTAGTGCCATCCCTTGAACTTGCCAGGCGTGGCTTTCACAGAATGGAAATGATTGGTGCTAGACGCTCTCCTGGCTGCTCGTGCAGCAAGTTGTTTGCGCATTCCGCTCCCCGCAAGCCGAAGGAAACATAGCACACCAAGAAGGCCAAGCACAAACCTCTCCATCCCTTGTTTGAAGCACATGGCGATGTAGGTGGCGGGTGCTTGATACTCTGGGGTTGCCATTATGTCCTTTGCCCTTGCCACCACTACTTGGCGATTCGCTTTTGATGGCACTTGTGGAGTCTAAATCCCAACAAAAACTACACCTTTAGACTATGTACGACAACTGTGGCGTGTACGGAGGCTTTCAGGTTTTCAAGACCCCACAAATCAAGGGGACTGCCTGGACATCTATCTTCCAGCAAACAGAAAGGCTGTCGCACTAGCACGCGTCTAGCGCAGGACCAGCGCAAAATTCCACCTTCATCACGAGCACAAGGACGAGTTTGCACAGGCACGTGCAATTCCGAGTACTGAGATAAGCCTCTGTATGCCTCTGCCAGACTTGTAATCAAGACGAGATGGACAAAAAGGAAACCTTGGAAAACCTTCCCTGGTGTAGTCATCTGCAAGTTGGAGAACCTAGAAATAAACCTTTAGGGTTTAGGGTTTAGGGTTTAGGGTTTAGGGTTTAGGGTTTAGGGTTTAGGGTTTAGGGTTTAGGGAACCGACTCTGAGGCTCTCTGAGGCTGCAGCCTTTCCAGGCCGTACGCAATTCGTGCGACCTGCCAGGTCACGCCCCCAATCCTAAACCCTAAACCCTAAACCCTAAACCCAAAACTGTCAAGCCCAAGTCCTGAACCATGTGCTTCAGGTCCTTTAGGTGCTTCGTGTTTCAGGATTCACAGCACTTGCCAGCGAAACTGCTGCAAGATGTCAATGTTGCAAGATAGGGTTTAGGGTTTAGGGTTTAGGGTTTAGGCTTTAGGGTTTAGGGTGCACCTGTGTAGCCTCCGCAAAGGCCGCGGCCTGGAGGCAGCCATCCTTGGCTCTCACAACCCACTGAGGGGCTTCCCACATTCGGGGTTACCTTACTAAAGTCGCTATTTCTGAGGGAATCCTTGAGGTGTCTATGTTGGGGGCCCCCTATTTTCGCAAACCTAAACCCTAAACCCTAAACCCTAAACCCTAAACCCTAAACCCTAAACCCTAAACCCTAAACCCTAAACCCTAAACCCTAAACCCCATTTATGCCGAGGGGTCAGGTCACTGAAGGCTTTAGATGCCACAGCACATGCAGCAGTAGCAGTTCATCGCACCTCTACCCCGAAGGCGCAGTTAGTCGGGAATGGAGGAATGGGGCCCCTATATACCCTTTAAGCGAGTTGATAGGGTACCCCATTCCTTCATTCCCTACCAAGCAACAGTAAGAGTAACGGGGCGGGTTAAGGCTTTCAGGGCTTTGGTCTACAGCAACGCGTTTAGCTCCTGCTCGCTCCCATATCCCAAGTCCATGATTCCCCGGAAAGATGCTCCGCTCCCTGAGGCCCTTAAGCGCCCTAAACCCTAAACCCTAAACCCTAAACCCTAAACCCCTAAAGACCCTAAACCCTCGCGCTGAGGCTTGCTCCACCAGTACCGTGTGGGCTTTCCGGTCCGGCAAGCGGCCCAGCTCACCTCGGAAATTGCCGGGTGTGTGGGCCAAGTCATGGACCCTAAGTCTCTTCCCCCTAATTATCTGCTTCCTTGTTGGGGGGTGGTCAGATCAAAAATTATCATTTTTATTCCATACCGGGAATATAATAGGACAAAATGTAAAATTATAACCAACAAGGACCCCCTAATATATTAACCCCCCTCCCTGCCCCCTAACATTAAATATCCCCCCCCTGACATACTATAATAGCACTATATTGGGGGGTCTTTTAATATTAGGGGAAAAGGGGGCCGGGTTTAATATCAGGGGCAGGGGGACTAAGTCTCTTCTGCAACGTAGCCCAGAGCCACGCAAGTAGGGATCTTGCAGCAATCCTTCTGAAGACTTCGGAGGGTCTGCACTTTAGGCGAGGCCCTTTGGGCCACATGATTTCAGCATGCGGAAACCGCGAAGCACGGGCGTTTCTTGCAGCTCAGGAGGGCACTGATCATGTCACTGTAGATCTGCATGGCTTTTGACACTTTCCTTGTCTTGCATGCGCGGAAATCGAGTTTTGGAAAGGCCAGCTTAGTTCCCGCAGCTTTCAAGGAAACGAGGTGCATGAGATGCCAATCTACTTCGCTCCTCAGAGAAGGGTAGTCCTCCTGTTCTACAGCTGCTTTCTGTTGGGTTAAGGGTCAATCGGGTTGTCGGGTAGTCAGGCAAGCGTCTTGTTTAAGAGGCATGCTTGCATGAGGCAGGTGAAGACCTGGACATTCAACTTCAAGCCGAAGTCCTGACATTCAGATCCATGAGGCTACTGGGCAGACACCAAAGACCTTTGCAAAGCTGTCGAGGGTTTGGGATTTCGGGTTTAGGGTTGGCTGGCCTAGGAACAAGCATTGTCTACGCGGCAGCAACGACTTCCTTCTGGTAGTCACTGGCCAACTTCAGCGCATCGTTCAGTCTCCGACAGCGGCCAAGGAGCTTCACCTGGGGCATCGTAGGTTCAAGGTTTAAAGAAAGTCCGGGCTCGAATCCCTGAACTTGATTCAAGATGCGCCACCTGCCTGCGCCTACGATGAAGGGACAGGGCTTCTGGCAAATTGAAAGGGGGTGGTGACTCCTGCACCCTAAATCGTGAACTCTCTGCTGCATCGCTACAACAAAGGCCAGTGCGACGTCATACTGAGCCATTGCCCATGTCAGGACGAGCGGCCATGATGCTCAGTGTGTAGTTGGAGGGTGGAATACCCGCGCCTAAGGCTGGATCCAACGCTACCCGGGACATGCAAAAGTTAAAAAGATTTAAAAAGGTCCCCATCACCCCGCTGTTTCAATCCAAAAAGAAGCTCAGCACCTGCAGTATGCACAGCACGAATGATGTCTGAGTGGCTGATCATGTCCTGCAAGTATTCCATTGCCTTCTGTGGCTTCTGCTTCCGCCCACAGCCGTCCAGAAGCGAGTTGTAAACAATCTCATCCAAGTCCAGCTTGCCGTCTGCTTTCAGCTCGTCGAAAAGCTTAAAGGCGCAGTCCAGCTCGCCTGCCGTGAAGGACACTGAAATCAGGGCTTGGCAGTTCCGTCTTGCAGCGGGTGCATTGGGAAAACTACGGCTGCAGTTGCAGAATCCCCTCAGCAACCCTTGGCCCAGAGAGATCCTAAACCCTAAGCCCTAAGCCCTAAACCCTAAACTCCCTGTGGGCACCGGTCGGTGCCTGCCACACAGTAGCCCTTGATCAGCGTCGAGTATGTGATCCGGTCTGGCTCAACGTGTCGTTGCCTGGCTCGCTGTTTAGGGTTGAGGGTTTAGGGTTTAGGGCTTAGGGTTTAGGGTTGAGGGTTGAGGGTTTAGGGTCTGCTTCTGAGACTGAGGACTTAAACTGTCTCGCTCTCGACTCACGCTAGAGTGGGCTGCTGAAAAAATTGGTAGGCTTGCTAACCCCAAAGAACACGTCGAATCCTGGCCCCTAAACCCTAAACCCCAAACCCGAAACCCTAAACCCTAAGGCCCAAGGCAACCCCAGGCCATCCCAGGCACCTCATGTTTTCAAAGACCGCGGGCACCCTGGACATGGTGCCACACTTGGCACATGCATCCAGCAAGGTGTTGTACGTGATGGTGTTGCCAGGTATGCCTCTTTTTGGAGCTTCTAACATAACAATCACAATCACAATAAAAATAACAATACAAATAACAATAAAGATACTAATAATAGTAATAATAGTAATAATAGTAATAATAGTAATGATAATAATAATAGTAATAATAGTAATAATAGTAATAATAGTAATAATAGTAATAATAGTAATAATAGTAATAATAATAATAGTAAGAATAGTAATAATAGTAATAATAGTACTAATAGTAATAATAGTAATAATAGTAATAATAGTAATAATAGTAATAATAGTAATAATAGTAATAATAGTAATAATAGTAATAATAGTAATAATAGTAATGATAGTAATGATAGTAATAATAGTAATAATAGTAATAATAGTAATAATAGTAATAATAATAATAGTAATAATAGTAATAATAGTAATAATAGTAATAATAATAGTAATAATAAGAATATACTAAGGACAGTAAGGGGTCTCGGGTGCAGAGCTCCAGGGATGAGAGGTTTGTGGCAGGGGCAACGGGGTGCGAAACAAGCCAAAAAACGCCGAAACTTCTCATGTCACTTATTTGCATTTCCAAGGGCGAGCCTTGCTCGTCCATCTCGTCCAGCACGTCGAAACACTTCTCTGGTTGCTTGGCTTGGGCGAAGCCCTTTATGATGGAGGAGTAGATGACCTGCAGTGACGCTTGAGTGTCGTGACGCTGCTCTGCGCCGTTCTCCCAGCATGCAGTCTTTGCGTTCTGGGTCCCTCCCACCACCCTCCTCCCTATGCCAAGGCACAGTGTTGAGAATGATCCCTAGTCCATCTGCAGCTGTCTGATGCCTGGCATCTCTTGTGATTCTTTCTTGTGTATAAGAGAGGAGCTTCCCCCAAACCAGTGAATATATCACCAAGGAACACCAGGGAGGCCGCATCGTCCACTGCTCCGCAATTCCTGAGAGGAGGAGGCGGTCACTGAGTTCCCCTCCTTTGTTTAGTGGGTCTACGATCCACGGCAGCCTGTCGATGAGGCTTTAACTCTGCAGGCTCGGAGATTTTCTGTGTAGGGAGCCCGGTTCTTGCTCGATAGATGCATAGAACGCTTCGAACGCAGCAAGCACCGCCCTTGCTCAGTAATACCTATAACCACCCTCTCTTTGTAACGAAGCAGACCGAGAGTCACTTGCATGCTGCTTCTTGATTCTTGTTGTTGCTGCTGTTGTTGTGGTTGTCGTCGTCGTTGTGGATATTGTTGATGATATTGTTCGTGAGGTTGATCATGGCTTGAAATTCCTCGTCCTTGTGTACTCCTTTGAACCCTTTGTGGAGTTTCAGGCTCAAGGCCCCTTTGAAGCTTCTTTGGGGGATCACATCAGGGTTTCACATTCCTTCGAGTGTTCATCCTGTCTGTCGAGGACTCAGGTTGCAGCACGTTTTCCTGGGGCTTCTTGTTCTAAACCAGCCGAGGCAAAGTGCTTCAGACCCGCTTCCTCTGCCACACCCTCCACATCTCGTCATGCAACAGAGCATCACCAGGGCCTCCACCATACACCCAAGGGTCACAGAGGATGGACTCACCCCCTTCTCACGCATCAAATTCCACGTAGACCTCAGCTTTGTGCTTCCAGCAAGCAGCTCTTGACGTCACGAAGTGTTGCTGAGGCTGGGGCCAAACCTGCTGAAGGTCCCGATTCTGCCCATGGAGCTTGATCATGGACCCAAACGTGGCCGCGCTGGTGTTTCCATTCTTCTTGTTGCGGAGCGTGCCCAACCTCTCGTGTGACTGTGAAGGTCTTGGGATGAGAAGGGTAGGACTCAGCCGGTGTGAACTGATCCACTCCCTGATTCTGACTGTCGAGCATCTATACGGTCAGTTCTCAACATGATGGTCCCTTTTTTTGGGCACCCTAAGTATTAGGGGCCGCCTTATAGTAGCAACCCCAAGACGGACCCAAACTTAGCAGAATGCCAGAATCATCCCAAACCGTTTGTCCCGTGTCGAGTGGCATCTCCATGAACTTGTTTGCCAAGGCCGGCCGACTGGTCCTGATCGCAGCCTCGATTGCCTGCGCACAAGGGGATGGCCATGGTCGCTACGACTACAGGATCTGGGGGGGTTTAACGAAAATAGGGGACCCCGAAGATTGATCCCCAAATAGTAGGATTCCCTGATAAGTAAGGACCCCAATAAGGTAGCCCTGATTTCGGCAACCCCCCCACATTGCTGCCACAAAGTGCCTGCGAGTTCCATGGTCTCGAGATGCAATACGCAGAACTTGCTGCTTGCTACAGCACATTGTTTTCACCCACGCCCCACCAAGCCCCGTAGCCAAACCTGTCCCAGTTCTGCATTGTTATGGCATGATGCAGATTCCATGTCGCAACGTGTGCCCCACATCCTTTTCCCGTCAATGCCTGCGAGCAGAGTGCCTCATCCACAGGCTCTGACAACTGATCGATCAGGTCAAAAGACCGGTCGACCTCTGAAACAAATAGCTGAGTCATGCTAAGATCTAACTTTGCCTCCGGCTAAGGCATACAAACAGCCATCCGCAGGCTCTTCCGATGCTTGGCGAGTGCTCAAGGTCATGAAAGTGGGTTCTAGATGGCTCTAGGCCGCGTTGCGCACAGTGACCCTGAAGATGGAGCTGAAGACTCGGACCACAAGAAGCTGAACCCTAAACCCTAAACCCCAAACCAGGAGGGCAGGCCTCCTCAGCAGCAGTCTCGTTGCTGATCCTGGCATTGCGCAGCTCAGAGCCACAAGGCTGGCACAGGCAGCTGAACAAACTGATCAAACCCACGCCAGTAGTTTCACTCCCAAATCCGTAGGCACCTTGTGAAAGGCTCTGTTGTTCCTGCTTAGGGCAGCTGACTTGCACAGTACTCGGGGTCCTCTTGAGAAGGATGGAGCATGAGGCATTCGTAATGCCAAAATCGGTGTTCTTCATCCAGTCCTCAGACGGGTTGCAGCTAGACCTTCGGTGCGCCGACTGGTGCACAGAATGCGCCCCTCTACTTCAGCAACCGACCCGGTAATCTCAGTAAGCGGCAACTATGCGCCATATTCCCTCGGCATCGTCGGCTCGGACTCTGTCGCTGAGCAGCTCAGCGATAGTGACCTCGGCAAGTCACACCAAGAGACACTTTGCGGCATGATGCTGTCCACAGAAGTGTAGCCTTGTTGGCAGCCAATCCATGCTCGTTCATTTCCTTCAGAAGAGACTGTGCCTGACAGGTGCTTCAATGAACAGCAACTTTCAGGGCTAATCAAGGAAAATTCTGCCCTGCCCCGGCCTCTTCACGCTTTCCAGCAGAAAGCAAAGAACGAAGCATGATGTTGAACGTCACCACATCTGCTTTCCTTGCCAAGAAACGTTGCCAAAACTAAGCCCTAAGCCCTAAACTGTAAACATCTGTAAACTCTAAACCCTAAAACCCTAAACCCTTCATTGACCTAGTGTGTCATACCAAGCTCCACCTTGGGCCGAGCTTCTTATCAGCCTTCAGCTGGTTGAAGAGATCCATGGCCGTCTCCCCGGCGGCTTCTCCACCTCAGCTATCGTACGCAAGGCCTAAACCCTAAACCCTAAACCCTAAACCCTAAACCCTAAACCCTAAACCCTAAACCCTAAATCCTAAACCCTAAACCCTAAACCCTAAACCCTAAACCCTAAACCCTAAATCTGAAGGTTGATTCAGAAGGATATTGTGAGTCTAGCTGTGGAAGATCTGCATTCTGGATGCTGCCAGCAGGCACTGAATCATGGTGTGTAGCAGCGCGTTCTGAACTTCTTGGTGCTGACGGCCGGAAAGTCCAGCTGCGGAAGCCTGCCCAGCAATCTTCCTCCCTTCTTCAGGATTCGCCTATCAAAACCCAAAACCCTAAACCCTAAACCCTGAACCCTAAACCTACGTGCCCATGGTTGCCAGTCAGTTGCCCCTAGACTTGCACTGTCCCTCAGAACTCAGATGTCAAGGATCTCAAGCCTCATGTCTAAAATCAAATGCGGCCGCGGCCGCAGCCGCACAAGACAAACAAATCGAAAGGGAGTTTCTTGGCAGAATAGAACTTCGGGGAAACTCTTTGTGCCCTAAACCCTAAACCCTAAACCCTAAACCCTAAACCCTAAACCCTAAACCCTAAACCCTGAACTAAAAGCCGACCTCCTGCACGGCCGCCAAAGCCCCGTCCAAGTCCTTCGCCTTGCCGCACTGGCGTATTCGAGCTGCCCACCTGCCCCGAGATTCCATCAGCCCTAAACCCTAAACCCTGAACCCTGAACTCCTAAACCCTAAACCCTACCAATCTCTTTGTACCCCGGGGCCGGGAGTGACGTCGGATCTTCGTTTAGTTGTTAAGAGGATCAGACTTGAAGACACCAATCGGAGGTTCCCGGGAAGGGTTGGGGGGTTGAGGGATACATTTAAGGGGTCAGGGCGGTGTTGGGCTGAGGGTTGAAAAGATGCTGTCGGGCTTTTGGGATAGGTTCTGCAGAGCTTAGGGTTAAGACGGTTTTGGCTGCAGGGGTTCTCTGTGGTTGGTCACGAATGTAGAGCTGCTTCAGCCCGGCGCTGATTCTCAGAGGGCCGCATCTTGGAAAGTATGTGTATGGGACCCCGAATCCAAGAATAGCGAGAAGCACCTGAGCCCTCATATGCTCGGCCAGGCAGCTGATTTCCGGAGTCGTCCGTCTGCGGCTTTCCTGGACGGAGGGTAGAGGGTTCTCCATGCCGTGTGTGAAGGTCTACGAATTTGCAAAAGGTTCAGGTGGGAACATATTCGAGTCAGCTGGAAAAACAGAGCCTTCTGCGTGTGACTTGCTATGGGAACACCTGTCCTTCCTTGCCACGCTTGGCACGCGCCGCTTTCGCCCCCTTCTTCTTCCTGGCAGGCTTAGCAGAGAGCTGTACCGCCACGCGCAACATCTCAAGAGCCTCACATCTCTCCCCCAACCGCCCCCTATCCCCCCCCCCCCAGCCCCGCCCCGAACAACTCCCTGACCCCGAACTCTTTCACACGAAGCCCCTGAAGACCCAAGGCCTAAGACAAGTTTCCTGCCTGGATTCGCCGCCTGCGCCCGCACCATCCTGCTTTCTTGTTCAGGCTGGCGAACTCGTGAGGATTTTGCAAGCAACATGGGGGTTTCCGAACATAGGGGTACCCTTTTGGGGTCCCTTTTAAGGGGATCCTGTTCTATTTCGGGAATAAAAGGGGAACCCCTTTTTTCGGAAACCCGCACATCTTATTTGCGCCAATTGGTTTTACGATCACATGGCTCTCTGGGGCTTGGACCTTTTTTGACTAGTTGAGGGTGGGTGCAAGGTAGTTGTACTTCAATCTGGCGAGCTTTCCATTGCTTGCTATGATTTCAACAAGCCCAAATACATCTGAAAGAAAGGAAAGAACATTCGAGCACAACAGCTGCAATCAAACAAAACATGCGACAAACCTGTATCGTGTTTGGTATCCATCAAATTTTAAGCACTTTCTTTAGTCTTTGCAAAATGCTTCTTCTTCGTCCGAACGTGTCGAATTCAAGTTTTGGTAACTCCGGTCAGCGCAGGAAGTGCTACTCACGGGAAGGCTTTACACAAACACTTCTATTCACAGGTAGCAGCACAAGCCAACTTCTGGTGGCCGCTGAAAGGCAGATTGGCCAGCACTTGCAAATACCAATTGCCCTGACATCCCACAGGTAAAGCACTTCCTACTCGTTTCCGTGTCTATTACCCTGTCCTCTTCCTTGGGCACGGGCTCTGGCTTGGATTCCTGCGCAACGGTGGACTCATGTGGGCAGCTTCGGGATGCTTCGGACTTGGAATGTTTAGGGTTTAGGGTTTAACATGTGACACACCGGAATTCACATATTCGTCGAACTTAGACTTTCAGCATCGGCAGTGATTCAGCACCTCGGCAAGAAAGTTCATTCGTTTTCGACATCAGACAACAAGCTTCGTGCTTGTCGTTGTGGAGTGCCAACAACGACCCCAGAACTAAAGCCTTTTCAATAAGGCTTCATGAAAACCCACCACCAAACTCTTGCGGACATGCTGTCTTGCAGGGGTTAAAACCGGCTAGGAACGGGCACTGGCAAGGACCCGAAATCAGCACTCAGCTCGACGCCGAAAACTCCCCAAGGCCTGTTGTTTCCAAATGTCTACACGTCCCTGCCAATTGAGCCCTAAACACTAAACCCTAAACCCCAAACTCTAAACCCCCACGACAGGCACATGGCCGCCTGTGTATCTGCATCCTTTTGGGCCGCGTCCGCGCTGGGTGCCGAGACCTCATGGAAGCATTGGCGGTTCCTGTTGGTGTATACAAGGACGGGCTACTATACCCTATAAGCCCCTAAAGAGGCCCTTTATAGGGTTGATTATGGGGATTCTAGGGCCTCATAGCCCATCCCGGTAAGGTGGGTAGTCAAACCAAAATGACTGAAGGTCTCAGCCTCTGATGCTGCCCCTAAACCCTAAACCCTAAACCCTAAACCCTAAACCCTAAACCCTAAACCCTAAACCCTAAACCCTAAACCCTAAACCCTAAACCCTAAACCCTACTGCCTCTTGGGATGCCGCGATCTTAGGGCTTAGGACCCCTGACATGCCCGGGCCTCCTCTCGAACTTTCGCAGCGAGCATCTGCTGAAAGTCGTCCTCTTCCTGGCCGCAGTCAGCAGATGTCTCAAGAATAGGGTTCAGGGTTCAGGGTTCAGGGTTCAGGGTTCAGGGTTTAGGGTTTAGGGTTTAGGGTTCAGGGTTCAGGGTTTAGGGTTCGTCCTACAAGAGTCAGAGCGATGTGCAGGCGGCCCAAGGCCCAAGCCTCAGCTTCAAGGCGGCGTCAACCCCTAAACCCCAAACCCCCAAACCCCCAAACCCTAAACCCTAAACCCTAAACCCTAAACCCTAAACCCCAAACCCTAAACCCTAACCCTAAACCCCAAACCCTAAACCCTAAACCCCAAACCCCCTAAGAAGCCTCCAGGTCGGCCCAGAAGTTGACGTCCAAGTTTTTCAGCTTCTTTGGCTGTCGCTCCGGCACGGCGGGAGCTTGAGCTTCGGATGGCCTGGGGGCCTGGGCCACTCAGCATCGGATCAGCCGATGGGGGGGGAGTTTAGGGTTTAGGGTTTAGGGTTTAGGGTTTAGGGTTTAGGGTTTAGGGTTCAGCATACGGGTATTTCCGAAAAATGGGGGGAGGGGGAGGTTCCCTTCATGTACCCCAAAATCGTGTAATCCTTATTTTAGGAACCCCCAAAAGGGTACCCCTATTTTCGGACCCCACCCACCATATGATCAGAGCACTATGCTTGGAAAAATGAGTTTAAAGCCATTATTCATAATCACTGCAATATATAGGGCGGTTTCCGAAAAATAAGGGGTACCCTTTTTGGGGGGTCCCTTTAAGGGGATTCTAATCCTATTGGGGGTATGAAAAGGGTTCCCCTATTTTGGGAAATGCCCATATGATCAGAGCAATATGCTTGGAGAAATGAGTTTGAAAAAAAAACATGATTCATAATCATGGTAATATATTGTGAGTGTAAACGGATCATTATAAGCATTATCATGAATTGCAAAGCGCCAGCAGAACTATGCGAATCGGTTGTGGCACCGAGTGACACCCCCACGCTTGCTATGGTCCACTGGGATCACCTCCTCTCTGGGAACATCAAACTTCTCCTCGGTTGCCTCCCAAGAAGCTTCCGAACATGAGCTGGTTTAATCTGCAGGCACAACTGTTGCAGTTTGTGTCCGCCATTGTGTACCATGAGTGTCGTCTGCTAGCAACATGGGGGTCTACGATACTGGTTGTACCTTTTGGAGGTCCTTATTGTAAGAAGATCCCAGTATCTGCAGGTCCATTTTCGGGGTCCCCAATTTTCCTAGACCCCCCCACATGAAGCAGGGTTTATATTGCTGTTATTGGTAAGTGTATATAAGGTTCCTTTTCAATCTTGGTGAGTGTCTATACCGGGTGTCCTTTTGGGGAGATAAGGTTAACTTGTGGCTTTGGACGACTCTGGCCTGGGGTGCAGCGGCCTGCAGCACCAAGGAACGGACGGCATCCGCAATCCTAGTTCATGGTTGGGCTAATTCGTATTACACATGTACATTTACATTCCTTATTGAGTCTACGTACCCTTAAGAATGTAAAATGTTACCCCACAATGACAAAGAATCAGGGCCACGCTGCAGACTTCTGCCATCCCAGGCGAAAACTTGACCAAGGACGCCGCGACGTTGACAAGCAGGAGCAGCAAGAGCTCCATGAATAAACTTTGCACATTCCTGTGCGCCAGCCGGTGGCTCTCAAAAGCAGAGTCGCCCTCTGCTTTCAGTTTCTGAGAGGCCCCAAGCTGTGGGCGCTGCCATAGGATTGGCTGCAGATAGGAAAGCGCCAGGAGTGCCACCATGACGAATCCAACTTCTGGCAGAGCGCCCGGGAACCGCAGCGCCAGAAGCAGCAGCATGAGTTCCAAGGCCGCCAGGACCAGAACAGGAGTTGGAACCGTTGGAACCGTCGGAGCTTCATCGGTCAACCTCGGGGAAACGAGGGAAAACCGGGGGAGGGAAGGAGGATGAAGAAGATGGGTTTAGGGTTTAGGGTTGGAGCTGAGCCCTCCGCATGTCTTTGACATGGATCCGGCTTCCATCCATTTGAAGCCAGGGAGTTCCAGCTATGTACACGTCTTCATTCTACGCTCAGGTTGACAGCCTGGGAGCCATATTCACGGCTGCAGGGAGCCGAATGGCTTCTGCCCCTAAACCCTAAACCCTAAACCCTAAACCCTAAACCTCATAGCCTTGTGCAGGAACTCATGGAAACTCACAGTCAGGCCGAGGCAGGCCACAACCGGAACTTCGACCCTCCCCGCGGCAAGCCCGAAGCCCAAATGCCCCCCCAAGGTGCCTTCTGCAGGTTTAGGGTTTAGGGTTTAGGGTTTAGGGTTTAGGGTTTAGGGTTTAGGGTTTAGGGTTTAGGGTTTAGGGTTTAGGGTTTAGGGCGATCAGCCCATGACCTGATACCCGAACCCCCAGTCTCGATCCAATGAAGCTTCTGCATCCCAAAGCCACATGGTTTAGCTCTTTGAGTCTGAGAAGAAGCCAGGACCAGGATGCAAAGCCCCAACAGAATTTGAAAGCACTGCGTAGCCAGGATACATCTGGTGCGGCGAGTAGGCGCTGCGTTTTAGTGGCTCCTCGGAACTGCTTTGAGTCCCGCGCCGGAGCCGGTGAAACCTTGGCCGACGTTGGCCGACGGACCATCTGCCATTGCACCGGAAACCGCCCGGCCACTCGCGCTACGCCGCTATGCTGCGCCACGTGGCGCCTGAGGCCCTAGAGCCTACGGAGACAACGCCCTTGAACGCAGCTTGGAGTGAAGTTGCCACTGAGAATCGGTTCTGGTATCTTAACATGTCTTAACTCCTATTCGCATGAGCCTTGGATGCGTTTAGGGGCTATGCGACCGCCTGCCAAAGCGTGCCCGACAGTCAGGGCAGTGTCTCCTGCCAGACATGCGCAGTCCAAGACGAGAACGTTAAATGCCTGCGTTAACTCAAGCTGAAACTGCAGTCTACGATCTTTCTAACGATTTTCTCATTCTGCCTTATATGCCGGTGCAGACCCAAAACAGTGTCAAAGTGCTCACTTTGAAAAGCACCCTCATGACCACCTCCAAAGCACTCGGTTGCACTGCTCCAGATGATACGACCGAGGCGAAAGCTCGACCCTCGGACCCGCGAAGCCGCGAAGTCCCAAAACTCCCTTCTTCAAGGAGGGAGCACCCCCCACCCCCCCTCCCAAGAAGAGGAGATTTTTTGGGGCGGCACGCGGGAGAGAGCAGCGCGCGACAGGCTTAAAAAAGAGAGCAAAACGAGCACGAAGAGGAGACCGACAGGCCCATGACTTGGAGAGCACGGAAAGCGCACGAGACCTACGGGCGAGAGCGCGACATTTGGGACTGCCACGATGAGGACACCATGGCACACTGTGCCTAGACGAGACCGCATGTGGTCGAGCGCGCTCGCTGCAGGGACAAACTAGCAATTTGCTGTTTCTCCCAACGTCAGAACCCAGTGCAAGCACTGCTTGGGGAGTCTATGAAACGCACATATATTTCTGTATATATATATATATATGCACACATAAGAAACTACATACGTACATACATACATACATGCCTGTGTCGTTCTGAAATACATGACTTACGTGATCTATCGAAAGCCCATTGGCCTCATCCAAAAAGCCAACCAACCCGCTCCAGCCCCCTCCAGCAAGCGCACTCCAGCCAACCTTTACACCAGCTCCCTCCAGCCGCAGCCACTCTCTAACCCGTTCCAGCCGGCTGGAGGGTGTTGGCTGGAGATGGGGCGTGCTGCCGGGGATTACTTGGACAAGGAGGAATCGAAACGACATCTAACCAGCGGAACGTTTAGGCAAGGGCCGGCTCGGCCAGTGTATCTCATTGTTGTTGTACTTCATTGTTTCTTGTTGACTGAAGTTTAATGCCTTTCTGTTCAGATGGAACTGATGAGCGTTATCGAAGCCCAATTCACTTGCAACTTCTGTAACTTAACTGATCATATCTTCATTCTCCTAACTCCTCTAGCTTACGATTGGATTTGACATCTCTCGTTTACTTCAGTTCACAGCGCCTCTGCGTTGTTCGGCATTGCCGAAACCCGCGGAATGGTCTCAAGCCTTCCACAAGTCGAAGCATTGCAGGTCTTGTGGCTTGTCTGACTTGCTCTTCCTTTACATGGGAGTTTCCGAAAACAGGGGGTGCCCTTCTTGGGGGTCCCTTTAAGGGGATTCTATTCTATTTGGGGTAGAAAAGGGGTCCCCTCTACTTTGAGAAATAACCACAGGTCCGACCACAACTCGGATGAACTCGACCTGCTGCGAGAGCGAAGACGGTCTTGCAAGTACCACCCTAAACCCTCAACCCTCAACCCTAAACCCTAAACCCCAAACCCCAAACCCCTATCCCCTAAACCAGAATGGCCTCATGTCTGCATGGGCCTGCTCGCAGCATCCCAGCCTGAGCTGAGCATCTCCACAATGCACAGCTTTGCCACGAACTTCTAGCCATGTGTGTGTGTGTGTGTGTGTGTGTGTGTGTGTGGCTAGGGTTTAGGGTTTAGGGTTTAGGGTTTAGGGTTTAGGGTTTAGGGTTTAGGGTTTAGGGTTTAGGGTTTAGGGTTTAGGGTTTAGGGTTTAGGGTTTAGGGTTTAGGGTTTAGGGTTTAGGGTTTAGGGTCTCGCTGCATGAACATTGTCGATAGGCACGGGCCTTTAAGGCCCAGGCCAGCCAGGCTGCTTTGCGGACTGGTTGGATGGGGAAGCAGTGCCTCTGCCGTGGAGGAGCAGAAAACACGCAAGAAAAGCAGGGGGGACTTAGGGTTTAGGGTTTAGGGTTTAGGGTTTAGGTGTGAGAAAACAAATGCGAAAGAACATTGAGCAACGACCTTCGTAAGTCTGAAGTGTCCTGCCGAATCGCGGGCTTCTCAGGTCACAGTGGGCTTTCATAACTTCTTGGCAGGGATTGTGCGCACCCTGAAAACCCCTAAACCCTAAACCTGAAACCCTAAACCCTAAACCATCACGGAGGTCCCTAAACCTTAAACCATCACGGAGGTCTCTCGGACCCTGTCTTACGGGTAGCCAAGGCAAGAACTTGCGTTAGCTGGCAGCCAGCACTCTGTAGCAACGGCCTGGCCAAGGCTTGGACAAGGGTTTCGGGTTTCGGGTTTAGGGTTTAGGGGTTAGGGCTTAGGGTTTCGGAGTTTTCCTGCGGGGGTGAAGAACCCATAGCCCGCATCCAGTCCTGCGGGCTGTTTACACACGGCTCCAAGCATCGAGATTCTTGGCCAGGCTGACCGCCATCTTTTGGCATGTTTCCCCCTTATACGAACATTCCTTAACAGGGATTCTAGTACCCTTCCCCCTTATACTCACCACTAACAGTCCTTAATTGGGATAAAAGTACCCCCCCCCCCCCCCCCCCCTAGTATCATCCCTTGTAAGGACTGTTATAAGGACCAAGCCATCTGCAGGGTTGTCTGGTGGTCTCTGATCTTCACCCTTCGGGATCGATCACCACAGACTCGGAGTTCACCCTTCGGGATCGATCACCACAGACTCGGAGGCTTCGGGAACTCTGGGATTTTGTTTATGGGTTTAGGGTTTCGGGTTTAGGGTTGAAAGTTTAGGGTTTAGGGTTCATGGTTTAAAGTTTAGGGTTTAGGGTTTAGGGTTTAGGGTTTAGGGTTTAGGGTTCAGAAAAATTCGGCACAAGTTGGTTCAGCCCACAGGTTATGAGACTCGGTGTCGAGGGTACCTCCCGGGCCCTTCTGTAGCAAGTCTTGCATGCACCTTCCGGGCACGACGGAATTCAGAAACCGCGCCAGAAATCAGGACACCAGAGAGGCTGAATCAGAAAGCAGACAGCCAGGTCGGTTTAGGGTTTAGGGTTCAGGGTTTTCAGAAAACAAGTTCGCAAAGCAATGCGGGGAACCCAGAAGCCAGGGGCCGAACTTGAATCAGAAAGCAGACCTACGAATTGTTTAAGAACCCCCCCCCCCAAAAAAAAAAACAATAGTCTTCCTTTAAGGGTGATATAGGGATTTGGGTTCGGCCGGTCCACACTAACAGTCAAATAACGCCGTGGCCTTATAACACACAGGCCAGAAATAGCACCAGGAATCCCAGTCAATTTTAGCATTTACCGGGTGCTTCTTTTTGTGGGTCTGCTGGTGGTGACTGCTAGTCACATAGCAACAGAAATAGCACCAGAAATAGCACAAACAATAGCACAAAAAATAGCACCAGAAATAGCACCAGGAATAGCACAAAAAATAGCACCAGAAATAGCACCAGGAATAGCACAAAAAATAGCACCAGAAATAGCACCAGGGATCCCAGTCAATTTTAGCAGCTTAGCATTTACCGGGTGCTGTTTTTTGTGGGTCTGCTGATGGTGACTGGTAGTCACATAGCACCAGAAACAGCACCAGAAATAGCACCAGAAATAGCACCAGAAATAGCACAAACAATAGCACAAAAAATAGCACCAGAAATAGCACCAGGAATAGCACAAAAAATTGCACCAGAAATAGCACCAGGAATAGCACAAAAAATAGCACCAGAAATAGCACCAGGAATAGCAGGAATCCCAGTCAATTTTTGGGCATTTACCGGGTGCTTTTATTTGTGGGTCTGCTGGTGGTGACTGTTAGTGTGGACCGGCCCTACCCTAATAGGGATTACTATCTTTCTATTTTTGGGGGGTTATAACAATATTCTTCCTTTAAGGGTAATATAAGGATTACTGTCTTTTATTTTGGGGGGGTTCTTAAGCAAGTAGTAGAGGCAGCAGCATGCGGAGAAGGCGATTGCCATTTGGGGGTTTCCGAAAATTGGGGGAGGGGGGGGGGGGGGGGGGGGAGCTAAGGTGAAGGGGGTGTCTCTACACTTGAGGTCTCGCAGACCTTTCAAAGCTTCCTGCGACTTCTCGAAGACGTGTAGCCGTTATGCAACCACAAATATCGAAAAGCACATGAGAAATCACAAGCACCTACTTTTCAAGTCAGTTTTGCCAAGGACTCACTTTGACGTGACAGTTCCCCTTTGAAATCTTACAAAATGGAACCCCCA